TCTTTCATTTCTGATGCTTTATCTATGGCAACACATAACTGATAAAACAAATGCCTTAAATGCACTTGTTTTTCTGTGCACATGTCTTTTTATAGCCCACTCTATTGAGTTTGTCTCCTGCACTCATCAGACAAGGCTTCTGCTTGTGCTGTGCGTCGATCCACTATCTCTTGTAACATCTAGCTATGTTTATGTGCTCTAGCAGTAACCTTTTGTTCTTCTTTCACCCTTGCTTTTAGCAATTCATTTTCTTTTAAAAGTCGAGCAAGCTAGGGTGTGACTGATAAATGTGTCATATCTAGATCATTAAATAAAGCTTTCCACTTATCTTTTTGCTCTATCAAGCTCTGGATTTTTAGTTCTTGAAGTCATAGACTCTCTTTCATTTTTAATTTCAATCACTTATTTTCTTGTTCCAACTCATCTTTCTCATATTGGAGTTTTCTCTTAGCTGTTTCCATTTTAAGCAAAAGATCTTGAAGAATGGGTTTTGGGGAATGCCCTATTTGTTCACTAGGAAACACAATGTCTTTTTCCCTCCTTGCATGCCTCACACTATATTCTGGGGTGACGTCATAAGTAAACCTCACTTGGTTAACCCTGGTGGTTTGCTTTCATGCCTTATTGATCTTTTTAACTATTCTATATGCCCCTTTATCAGTGAATGAGAACTCCCACTAATTAAATCCATAAGTTTCTGGAATGAATTGCTTACATCCAGATTGTCTTCTCACCAAAGTTAGGGCATAAGTAATAGCACTCCATAAGCCTAATAAAAATACCCATGGCTGATTTTCACAACTGTATAATACTGTATCATGACGCATCCAAGGTGCTTTTCAAACTATCCTTGGACTATCAAAGGCTCGAAAATAGGAAACCCATTCTTCTTTTAATTTTGCTTGAGGTCATGTGCTGTAACAGAATTCCTTGATGAGGATGCTGGAACGAAGGTATGGTTTGTGAAATTGACTTTCTTTACATTCCATGTGACTCTTGATTCATACATAAAGCAACTATAAACATCCATTAAATCGACCTTTACCATTTCTACGATAAAAATTTAGAGATTGGATGGTTTTTGCCAAAATGATTAGTGCTGCATTGACCTAATATGCTAACTGATCAATAAAATCCATCACTGCGACATCAACATATCCGATGACTTTCGAAAAGATCACCAATCTATATAAAGCTATAGCCATAGCCACTAATCTCTGATCATCATCTATGTGCCCCTAGATGAAATCTCGTAAAAAACTTCATGGAATAGCTTTACTTTCACCCTTTATCTTGACACATGAATCGACTTAAGGCAAACTAAGTCCAAGCATTTGCACTAGTTTTTTACAATAGCCCATCTTGTTGGACCAGTAAATCTTGTCTAGGTTTGGTAGATCGAAGTGAAGTAGGACCATATACTCTTCGATTGTGGGCACCATGTCTACTTCATTAAAGATAAAACATCTATAAGAAGGATCATAAAATTGGATGATAGCCCTAATCAAATTATTGTCCACTTTCACCTGAAGCAGTGAAGCTATATCTCCATATCTGTTCTCAAATGCCTCCTGCCTTATCCTACTCATGCATCCCCAAACACTGCTTAAGTCAACTAGATCATTTTGTTGTAGCTCAAGATGAACTTTCTTGGGTAATAATGAAATAAAGCCATCAGGCAAGTAATTTTCTTATTTTCTTTGACCTTTCTCTGACTTGATTTTCAGTTACTGGGCAGACTTATGATGGACTGATGTAGACTTTGGTTACATTTGACTTTTCATGGATGTAAATGAGAGATTTGATTTATCAATAATTGATATGTGGTAAATATTTTCTATACGCAAATGATGGTGTTAGACATTATTATGAAAATGATGCATAAAATGATATGATATAATAATGCTTAAAACATAAGGATAGAAATGATGCATAGAATGATGTAACATGATAATGCTTAGAACATGAGGATGCATGTTGTGATGTACAAAAACAAACAAAAGTGGTTAGATAACGAACTGTTCCTTCTTGTGTCCTAATTTTGGGTTATATCTATTGATAGGTAGGAGGGCTCTATCTTAAGGTTGACTTTTTAAGGGTAAACTATATGTAGGGTTAGGTGGTTTTAACCACTAAAGGTTCCCAAATTGTTCCTTACATCATTGTCTATCATAGACTAGTAAGGCAATCTAATCTTCACTCATCACAAGCTATCAAAGAAAAAGATTCAATTTGAGTGAGAGTATTTCGCTAGCCATTGCAGAGATTATCATTTCACGAGAGTGTAGGTACTTTACTCCCTCTTACGAAGGACAGATCCTAAGTATAGAGCTCATATAATGCAAATGCATGTGATAGTGTGTGCGAAGGAACATATGGTTATCGTCCCCATAAATCAGACAAAAACAAGAGAAAAAAACGTTAGTAAACAAATAACTTAAAACCATTAGTTTAAAGGATAAGATAAATTCAAAAATTATGGCTTAACTCTCTAGCAGTCCCCAGTGGAGTCGCCAAACTGTCATAACATATAGATTCAAAAATCTATAGCTAGATTTAACAAATGAATAGAGTTGCCACCAATCTTTTTTACTAGGTGTGATTGGCCACTTAAGGAATCTATCCTCTTAGGGAACTCTTAAGCTTGACTAAGGGTCCCTAAAAGAATAGGTTCAAGTCTACTACTTAGAACAGGGTTCAGGAGTTCGGTTACATGTAGGAAAGGTTATAGCATCCTCACATGCCCATCTGAAGGATGGTACCATATTATTTCAAATTTATCATAAGGTCTTGAGTCTAATGGTTTCAAATTTTAACGTAAAATATTGAAAATAATTCATAAGATTCTTCCATCAATTTGATAGATCTCTTAAAAAATATTTCATCACTTCAAGAATATTCAAGAATCCAATTTGGATATCTTGAAGAAGCTCCATCGTCGGAAAAAAGGTTTGATTATTATTATTTATTATTATCATTCATCTTTTTTGTTTGTTGAAAATATATCTAATTATTTCACAATTTGGGCTAAATTAGAAATATTTTTTCTTTTTTTTTTTTAATTTTTAAAATTTTCACAATTTGGGCATATTTAGAAATTCTTTTTATTTTTTTTCTTTGGAAAGAAAATAATAATAATTACTTTTATTAAAAAATTTCATCTAAACTATTCCACAATTTGGGCCAAATTTAGAGAAAATTTCTCACCTAGAGATTTCTTAGAATTTTACCATTTGAAATTTCTATGAATCTCATCTTTAGATAATTATCAAATATTTACAATCCAAATTTTATTTGGAAAAGAATACAATTATTTTTATTAAAATTTTATCTAAATTATTCTACCATTTGGGACAAACCTAGATAAAATTTCTTGCCTAAGAATTTTATAAAAATTTATTATTTGAAATTTTTATAAATTTCATAATTGGATAATTAATATTTATTCCAAAATTTTATTTTTTTTATTATTATCTTTTTTATTTTAATTTAATAAAAAAACTAAAAGACATAAATAAATAAAATGCTTAAATAAAATGAATAAGAAAGTACCAAGAAAAAATCGAAATCGACTCGACTTGGGCTAAAAAACGGCTCAGCTCAAGACAGACGGAATAGCTCAAACGCGCGGCTCAGGAAAATCGGCTTGGCTCAGCTCGGCTCAAGAACAAGGTCTGTGGAACAGGTTGAAGTGGGTCAGCGTAACAGGTCGGATCACCCGAATGAAAACACGCGGATCCTGGGGTCTTCTTAAGGCCAAAATAGCATCGTTTTACGTAGGTATAAAAGGCTCCAACCTCTGTTTTTTTGCAGATGACTTCTTCCCTCTCTTTCTCCTCTTCCTTTTTCCCCTTCTTCTCTCTAAACAAAATTCAGATTTTCGTTGAATGTTTGTCAAAATCTGGAAAAACCCATCGAAAACTTCAAAGTTGGTCGAAAATCTTGTGGAAAAATTCAAGCTTCGCCGAAAAATTCATCGGAATCTAAAAAATTTCTAAAATTTTTCCAAAAAAAAAAAAACGCCAAAATTCCTAAAAATTTCCTAAAAACTATAAACTATTTTTTGTTTTTTTTTTCCTCTATGTTTTCCCTTATGATCCCTATCTGATTCCCCTCTAATTTCTCTCCATATGTTTCTGTTTGAGCCTTTATTTATAGGCATTGATCAGAAACAATTTCTGATCAATTCCTATTCCCTTTTTAACTGGGATTCAATATCCTTGAATCCCAGTTCAACTCTACCAGCCCCTATTCCAGAAGGAAACAGAAATTAAAGCTTCAATTTCGGACCAAAAAAAATAAATAAAAATAATAAAATAAAAATAAAATAATGAAAATAAGAAAATAATAAAATAATAAAAAATAATGAAAATAAAAAAAAATAATGAAAAAAAAAATAAAAAAAATAATAATAAATTAAAACTAAAATTAAAATTAAAAATTAAACAAAAATTGAGCCAAAGCTAAGCCCAATAAACTTAAGCTCAGTCTGTTGAATTAAGTCCGATGGATCTGGACAAATTAAGGTGTCTACAAGCATGATATTAATCTCTATAAGAAGCCAAAATAGGATTACAAGTTAAAGTTGCCATCGATTGGGGATACAACCAATTCAAACTGAGTTTGTCAAATCTGAAAGAAGAAAACATGACGGAGCCTTGATGCTTTATCCACTACAGTTTCAAGGAAGATCTCTCGATTAGGCATTTGTAGCTATCAAACGAAATTGTGAGTGGATGAAATTTACTATATGTAATATCCAAAAAGTCATCTGATTATTTAAATTGCATAAATACTTATATGCCAATTGAAAAAGCTTTCGGAAGTATATTTATTTGAATAGTTTAACTGAATAAGATAAATAAAATCATTATTCTAAAAGTTTGTACTATTTATACATTATCAGCCTTTATCAGCCTCTGAAACTCTTGGTCGACGGTGTATTTCCAGTGATTAAGATCGTTGCTACGGGTGTTCCAACTTGTATGTATTTTCGATCACTAGAATGAAATAAGTAAGCCTTCCTGAAATTCGACAAGGACCAGCTTCTTAACTTGACATGAGGGAAATACTAGGAAAACTTCCATGGAGATTGGATTCTTGCCATTCTTCCACTCAATATCCTTGGGATTGATTGGCCTTAAGCCCTCACCATATGAGAAACTGTGAGGGGCAATTGCGCTGCATAGTTTCCTGCTATCAGTATACTGCTACATTGATGATAAAAAATATTTCAATCTCACATCATACAGGGAAAAAATCTAGTGAATCATATATAAGCCTTTAAATTACCGTCAGTCAAAGACTAAATTATTTACTCCAACATGACTAACCTTGTTCACTATCAAAATATCAAATTAATCATGTTTCTGAATAGTGCCACCAACATGGTAGGGCCACCAGAAATAGCCCGAGGCACAATGAAATTCAGCACAAGGTTTTGAGTAAAATGGAACATGTTCTAAACAGGATGAATAAACCGCCCCTCCACGAGCTGTGGTAGGCACAGGGCAGACCATGTGACAGCCATCCACCAGAATTTGGTATTGGGTCAATCTAAAACATTTTACTTGCATAGTGTCTTTACATCAAAAGATTTTTAAATTAAGCAATCACTATTTGTTAGCTTAAGACCAAAAAAAAAAAAAAAAACACCTTATAGCAATACTATCTCTAGTGAAGGAAAACTGAGTTTAAAATATTTGAGTCAAAATGGTGTAAGAGCTATATTGTCTAAAGATAAGTAGAATTTTGACTTCATCGTTAGTAAATGAAGGATTAAACAAGGGTTACCTTGATCTTACTTTAGAAAATTCTTGATATCCTCAGCTTTGCAATCCTTGAAATTCACCATTTCAGAAGTTTCCTCATCCTCTAGTTCAAAATAAGCATGTGATCCTCAACTTCAGAAACCTTGTAATTTTGATAATTAAAGAAAATTTTCCTTATTCCGTGACATCAGAAATGTTATCATCCTTAACTTCACAATACCCAATTCATTAAAAATAGAGAAGTAGCTAGTACATATGCTATCACTGCAAAGGTTGATCAAATTAATAAATGGCAAGCCTATTTGTTTCATAGGATTTTGGCTTACTTGGGTGTTAGAAGTTAAAGGATTACCTTGATGTTCTTCAAGAATCTCATCTTCATATTCTTCATCTTCTCTCGCCATAGCATTCTATTATCAGCAGCAGCAATTTTAGTGAAAAGGCGAAAAAAGAATTAATTTTAATTTACAGTGTCGTGAAGATCACAGGCACCGACAATTCTGTGACAAATCAATGAACAAATCTATAAATTGTAAATAATACCAGAATCCTCCTTCATATACAAATACAATTTTCTCTTCACTATGCTTTTTCTCTTCCATATACATTAAATTTTAAATACCCAATTAACAGATAGCGTTTTAACTTTTAACTCTCAAAAATCGTTCTTCTCATTCCAACTCTTTGGTTTTGATTGGAAAAAAGAATGGTCAGTGGTCAAAATGTAAACTCCAACTCCAAAGATGATAACTGAAATTTTGAAAAATACTAACTAACAAGGAAATTTGGAAAAACATACCTTTTCTTTGAACAGTTGTTGTACGGTGCTATTAAGGTTGCCTTCCCAACGTTCTTCATAATTTCCCCTTGTCTGTAACCGCACTTTGTGCAACAATGGTGTGTTTGAGTCTCCTTGAGAGAACATCTTCATCTTTGGGCAATTTTGCAGAATTACAGTTACTAAGGATGGGAATCCAAAGGTATAATTCCCTGATGAGCAGAAGCTTTCTAGCTTTGATAGCCCAATAAGTTCCAAAACGTTGAGTTGGGGGAAACTGATTTCATCCTTTGCTTCATCTTCATCATACCCACTACCTTGTGTTATTTCTTCTATATTCTCGCACGACCATATCTTCATTTCTTTGAGCTGCACTAGGCTTTTGGCTGTGGAATATGCAACTAATTTTATGATTCCATCACATCTTGCAACTTCAAGAGTCACCAGATTTTTGAAAGAAACTGTGGATGGAACTAAATTATTTTTTAATTTGGGACACCCTTCCTTTTCCTTCCATAGATGCATCAATTCAGGAAGATATTTCAGCCTTAATTCAGTTAACCGAGAGAGTAGCACCCGTGCAGATTCAGACTTTTCCTCACCAACCCCTTCACTTGGGAATATCTCTTTAAAGGAAGCTACGCATATTTCAAGCTTTTCAAGATTGGGAAAGGATAATAAGTGGAGCAAGTAAGATGGGAATATGGCTAATTGTTCAGGAAAGTCATAAAGTCTGACAACTTTTAGTTTGGAGTAGTGGGATGCAAGTAGCTGTTGTTGTAGTTGTTGTAGCATCTCTTTCATCCCATTATTCCATCCCAAAGTAAGTTGAGTTGGGAACGTATACTGCACAATTCACAATGTGTTAAAAGGGACAGAGGACACTTTGCATTGTTCAAAATCAAATACGACGGCTAGCCGGTAGAATATAAAGAGAAAAACTAATATATATAAAATATAATAGGAGAGATTCATTTACATTAATATAAGTTTTATTTTATATTTTTAATTAAAATAATTAAAATAAAAATATTTTTTAAATTTAATTTTTGTATAAAAATAAAAAATAGATAACTTAATTTCTACTCAAAATATATTCTTATCTTCCTTATTTGAGTAAAATTATTTTTGATACTTTAATTTAAGTGTACTTGAATAAGGAGATTGTACTTCGATTAGTTTATTTTTTGACTTTTGTTTAAAGCAATCTTTTTTTTTAATTATTATATGCCGTTCATTAAGTTATTTTATTATTACTATTACATAGTATTGTATGCTTACTTTTGATGCATATGAATTTTTATAAAAATTAGAGTTTTTACTGTTTAAGTGAAAATTTACGTTTTAAAAAATTGTATTATATTATATTTACGTTCTTACCTTTTGAAAATAATATTTATTGTACCAAATTTTTAAAAAATAGTGTGTTTTGTTAACTTTTTTTATAATGTTATATATATCGATAACATATATAACTTTTTTCCTTTATTATAATTTTAATAGGTTAATTAGCTTTTTGTTATAAATCAAAGTTTTGTCACATAATTTATATTAAGAAAATTAATTCATCTATCATAAATATTATCTAAGTGTAAATAAATATTAAAAAGATTAAAAAAAGTTCCTTTCTAGTAAAACAAAATTAATTTATCGTCTTTGAAAAAAAAAAAGAATTCATTAAGTAATTAGAAACAAAACATTATCATAGTTTGGTAAATAGAAACATACCTTATTCACCCAAAATAAGGGCTGTTGAATTGAGATTAATTCATATTCACTCTTTTCTCGACTTGTTTCTTGAAAACCAAATAATATCTCCACTTTGTCACATCCAATCACCTCTATCTCTTTTAATGATGGCCAATTTATAGAATGCATTTTATGATAAAAATTCTTTAGTTTTGGCAATCTTATGAGTTCCAAAGATGTTAGCAATGGAAATTCAAATGCAACTGCTGCAGTACTACCATCTGCTTGTTGGGGTTCAAATATTTCTTCCACCAATTCACAATCCCATATGATTAGTTTCTCAAGGCTCTCAAGTCTTGTCAACTTACTCAATGGGAAAACATTCACTAGCTTATCACAACGTTTCAATTCAAAGTAACCTAGTTTGGAAAAGAATTGTTCAGCAAGTTGGTTAGGCCATAGCCTTTCCAGGTTTTCCATGGAATGAATTTCCAAGTGCTGTAGCATAGGAAGTGTCACCTATATATACATACATAATTCGTTTGAATGTTTCGTTAGTAACTAAATATAATATCGGAAAACATAATGCAAGCAAAGGAAAGAAAATGTTAAGAAACTAAGAAATTTTTACAATTTCTTCTTACATGTAAATGTTTTGTCCTTAATTAATCATTATTATTAAATTAAAAATACTAACTAATTTTTATTTCTTTATTAATATTAAAGTCACTAATTATTAAAATAATTCAACACAAGTCTATTTGTTTAAAAAATGGACAACACACCCCATACTCATAACAGAATTTATGCAATTACAAAACTATCCTTCAAATCTAAATTTATTTTATTTATATATATATATTTTTTACTCTATCTATTTAAGGATATATAGTAATAAAAATTATTTCTATTTAAGCAAAATGATTTTTTATTTAAAATGAATAAATTTGTTATCACTATATTTTCACTATATTTAAGTTATCATATATACGACTATTATAATAACTAAAATTGAATTATTAACAAATATTCAATCGTCATTTTTTAGCCAAACTTTTATTTTCATATTATATTCTTCATTTTCCTTTTTTTTTTAAATTGCTACATGCTAAAATAATAGTAAATACTTAATATATTCATTTTGTTATGCATATATTTATATATTAGCATACTTATAATTACAAGTTTTGTTTTAATATGTTGCCTCTAAATTTTTTTTTATTAATAATAGTTTTGATATATTTTGAAAAAAAAAATTTATTATTATAAAATATTACCTCATGTGAGTATTTGAGGATATTAACTTTTCAAGAGTAAAATAGTTTTTAAATAAAGTTTTTAACGGAATAGGTAATGGATGACTAAAGAAAAAATTTATTTGTCCTCAAAAATTGAAAAGTTTAGGATAAGTTATTCATTTTTCAAACTAATGAATTTATGTTTAATTATGTTCAAAACTGAAAGACCCAATAAAATTTATCCTAGAATATTCTTAAATATTACTTGAGCTAACATATATAATTGAAAAGAATGTTCAATGCTACTAAAATTAGATGACAGTTACACACAATAATCATGTATACAGAGGTTACTGTTTTTTTAGATCAATGTGCATGATAGAAAGAATCTCCAAAGATTGGGTGAAATAATAATATATGTTACTTGAGATTAATTGATTGTGCAAACAAAGATTATAAAAAAAATGTATAAAAATTATCAGAAACACTATAAAACTTAAAAGGCTTTAAAGTTATATAAAAAAAGCTATAAAAACCAGAAGGAATTGAAAAGAATTTTAAGTAAAATTGTTAGTAAAAAATTACAGATAGTCAATAAATGATTTATTAGCATAGTCCTTAATTCCATAACTATAATTGTAAAAATTACATAATTTATTTATAAAGAAGAAAAATTTTATATTTTCAAGTTTTCAAATTATGTCAACCTAGCAAGTTAACTCACAATTAAATTGTCAAATTGCATGCTTCTAGATTAAAAATTTCATTAAAACAAAATTGTTAGTAAATTCAAATTATGTTAACTTAGCTTGTTTCCTTACAAATCATAATTAAATTATCAGTTACATTCTTTTAGATTGAAAACCTGATTAAAATTGTTACTTTTATTCCAAAGATGTGATTACCTAATTGTCCAAAAACTTGCAATTTACTGTGATAATTTGTGATTACACCAAGCCATGACCAAGATAATTACATATTGGGCCATATATAACATCTTTTACTTAAAAAATTATTATCAACTAATTATTAGAGTATATAAGAACTATTAAATCCTTGAAAGGCTACCATTTTTACTTTTTGAAATTAACCTATTAGAATTGCTACATTGCAAAGTTATTAATATAATTATTTATTGAATTAATTATTTCATTTCGATATTAATTAGTAATATTAATTATATGTTATTAGCATTTCCACTGTTAGATTCTTCAAAAAAAAAAAGATGTTCACATTTTATTAGTTACATGTTATTTACTTATTATTTTTAATAGTTAGGTGTTATACCATTCGCTTGTATGCAAAATTAATATATACATATAAAAGAAAATAGATAGCTACAAAACCTAGGTTTCAATGTGTTAGGAAAATGGGGTCCAATCCCATGTAAGTGGTTTTGGACCAAGTAAAGGCCATGAGCCTTGATCTTTTATTTTACACAGAGCCCTAGCTACTTAATAAAAGAGAGGTAGGGTTGTTTTAGGTGTGTATCGAAAACCAAGCAGAGAAAGAAGAAAAGCCAGGAAAAGCAGAGAGAGAAAAAGTAGAAGGGAGAGTTAGTTGAACGGAAGTCGATCCGTGCTCCGATTGAGTTGGAACCTTGTCAGGAGGTTTATGATTCAGAGTTCTACATTCTGAACGGTGAAGATCGGGTTTGAAGCTCTCTAGGAACAAATCCAGGGTGTATTTGTTGAGTCACTTATTTGGTGAGATTTCTCCAATTGTTTCTCTAGTTGTTGATTAGCTCTAGTTTTAGCTAGAGAAGAACTTTGTATAACTATTATTTGATAGTGAAGATTTTTCTGGTTGCCCGTGGTTTTTTCCCTCTACACTGGAGGGTTTTCCATGTAAATCGTTGTGTGCTTTATTTTTCCTGCATATTTGATTATTGATTGTTGTCTATTGCTTTTGTATTGTTGTGATTATTACTTCAGGCGCAACAAGTGGTATCAGAGCAAGGGTTATTTTAAGACATCGATACAGAAGCAACCTAGGATAGAAGTAAATTCCGTTTGAGATCATGGAGGGTGATATAGGTTCCATGATAAAACTGACAGCATCGAATTATTCAATTTGGAAGCCTATGATGGAGGATCATCTATACTGCAAAGATTTGTATGAGCCAGTATTGAGTGATTCGACTAAACCAGTAGATATGAAAGATGAAAGCTGGAAGAAGCTAGATAGAAAGACGCTTGCTACAATCAAAAAATGAGTTGATATCAACGTGTTCCATCATGTAGCGCAGGAGTCAAATGCTCACATTGTTTGAAAAAAATTGACAGCATTGTATGAGAGAAAAACAGGTATGAATAAAGTTATGCTTGTTAAAAAGATTGCAACTTTACAGTACATGGATGGACGATCTGTTACAGAGTACTTGAGTGATTTTCAAGATATATTTAATCGAATGACTACTATGGAGCTTAAGATGGATGATGAAATGAAGGCGTTATTTCTTTTGGGTTCATTGCCAGATAGCTGGAATACTCTAGTTGTGACTGTTCTTAATTCAGCTCCTGATTATAAGGTGACATTGGAGATAGTAAAGGACAGTATGCTTAATGAAAAAAGCAAGACGAAAAGATGTAGACCCTGGGAATCAAGCTCTAGTCACAGAGAACAGGGGTAAAAACATCGACAGAGGTCAGGACTCAAAAGGTCGTGGTAAGTCTAAACATAGATCCAAGTCTAGAGGTAAAGTGAAGTGTTTTTATTGTGGTAAGGCGGGTCATATAACACGAAACTGTAAAATCTTGAAGCAAGAGCAAAAAGATGAGAAAGGCAAGAGTTCAGATGATAGCAATGTTACAGCAGTAAATTCAGATAGTGATTCAGTTACTTTGATTTGTACACATGGTGATTGCAATCATGTTAGTGATCCCGACATTGAGTGGATAGTTGACACAGGAGCGGCATATCATTGTGTTCCTAAGAGAGAGTTGTTTACAACTTATAAAGCAAGAGACTTTGATTGTACCAAGATGAGAAACAATAGTGTGTCGCAGATTGTTGGGATTGGTGATATTGTTGTACAAACTAGTACAAGCTGCATGTTGACTTTGAGGGATGTCAGACACATTCCAGATATGAGAATGAACTTGCTTGCTATTAATGTCCTTGATAAAAAGGGATATGAAAGCCGACAAAAGAATGGATAATAGAAGCTTCTCAAAGGATCTATGATAGTTGCAAGGGGAAAACTATGCTGCATAATGTATAAGACATGGATGCAATTGAACGGTAACCAGGTAAATACCATTGAAAATGATGCTTCAGCAAACTTGTGGCATAGGAGGCTGGCACACATGAGTGAAAAAAGGTTACAGGTTTTGGCAAGGCACTCTCTCATTCCCTTGACCAAAGGTATGTCTCTCGATTCATGTGATTATTGTTTGTTTGGTAAGCATCATAGAGTTTCTTTTCGTAAAAGTTCTCAGAGAAAAGAAAATAGATTGAAATTAATTTATTCTAACGTATGTGGTCCCATTGAGGTTGAGTCATTAGGTGGTAGCAGATATTTTGTTACTTATATTGATGATGCTTCACGTAAGACTTGGGTGTATATGTTGAAATACAAAAGTCAGGTACTGCAGTATTTTCAAAAATTTCATGCCATGGTTAAAAGGATGACAGGGTTACCCTTGAAGTGTATTCGAACTGATAATGGTGGAGAATACACATCTAAAGGCTTTGAAGAGTATTGCTCAAAGCATGGGATCAGGCATGAGAGGACAGAACCTGAAACACCGCAGCATAATGGTATAGCTGAAAGAATGAATCGCACCATTGTGAAAAAAGTCAAATGTATGTTGAGGATGGCAAAATTACCAAAGCCATTCTAGGGTGAAGCAGTCAACACAGCTTGTTATTTACTTAACAGGTCACCATCTGTTCCTTTGGGCTTTGACATTCCAGAAAGAGTGTGGACAGGGAAAGATACTTCATACTCTTACTTGAAAGTTTTTGGGTGTAAAGCATTCATGTATGTGCCGAAAGAGCAGAGATCAAAGCTTGATAGTAAAGCTACACAGTGTGTGTTTGTAGGATATGGTGATGAGGAATTTGGCTACAGGGTATGGGATCCAGTAAAAGAGAAAGACAGTCAGAAGCAGGGATGTGGTCTTTCATGAAAAAGAAACCATAGCAGACCTTGAGAAAAATGAGAAGACTACACGAGTTACTGTTGAGTGTGATGTTTCAACACCGACAGGGATTTCACAAGAAAGAGCCACAGATGGTGAAAATGAGCAAGAAACAGAACTTGGGGATATGAATGAGCCAGCTACAATTGATGATGAGCCAGATGCTATTAGTTTTGAGCAGGGGGAGCAATCCTCTCTACCTGAGAGTGTTGAGCAGGGGGAGCTACCTTCGGCATCAAGTGATGTAGAGTCTCAGCCTAGAAGATCTACTAGAGAGCGCAGGTCATCTACCAGGTATCCAAGTTCAGATTTTATTTTTGTTACCAGTGAAGGAGAGCCAAAAAGCTTTCAAGGTGTGCAGGCTACTCCGGATAGAGAGTATTGGTTAAAAGCAATGAAAGAAGAGATGGAGTCATTGTGAAAGAATGGTACTTATGATCTTGTTAAACTTCACAGGGAAAAGCTTGAGCTTTGTAGTAACTTGGCTGGAATGAGTTCCCTGGCCAAGGTAAGTTCCAAATGAAACTGTTATGGTAATGAATCTCCTCCTAATGGGGCTGGAGGGGGAGATTGTTAGGAAAATGAGGTCCAGTCCCATGTAAGTGGTTTTGGACCAAGTAAAGGCCATGGGCCTTGATCTTTTATTTTACACAGAGCCCTAGCTACTTAATAAAAGAGAGGTGGGGTTGTTTTAGGTGTGTGTCGAAAACCAAGCAGAGAAAGAAGAAAAGCTAGGAAAAGCAGAGAGAGAAAAAAGAGAAGGGAGAGTTGGTTGAACGGAAGTCGATCCGTGCTCCGATTGAGTTGGAACCTTGTCAGGAGGTTTATGATTCAGAGTTCTACATTCTGAACAGTGAAGATCGGGTTTGAAGCTCTCTAGGAACAAATCCAGGGTGTATTTGTTGAGTCACTTATTTAGTGAGATTTCTCCAATTGTTTCTCTAGTTGTTGATTAGCTCTAGTTTTAGCTAGAGAAAAACTTTGTATAACTATTATTTGATAGTGAAGATTTTTCTGATGGCCCGTGGTTTTTTTCCTTTACACTGGAGGATTTTTCACGTAAATCTTGGTGTGCTTTATTTTTCCTGCGTATTTGATTATTGATTGTTGTCTATTGCTTCTGTATTGTTGTGATTATTGCTTCAGGCGCAACACGATGGCCATTCCTCTGCCATGCCGTTGCATACCATCTCTAATATATATCAATTTCCTATATAAAAAAAAAAATCTATACGCTCTTTGTTAGCTTCCTCTTTCCATTAATGTAGTGGTTTTTTTTTTTTTTTCAAAATACCCAAAAAAAACATAGATCAAAGCTCGGTTTTTTCTACAGAAATCCCTTATTCTGTCTTTTTTTAAACTCCGGATCCATCTTAGATCAGTTCCTCCATCCTTCTTCTGCCATCCTCCTTCAAAATCACCTTAAAATCCTTCATAATAAAACCCTAAAAGTTGAACTCTAAAATTATCATTGCCGCCACTGTCGTACCGTCTTCATTCTCTTCCTGTTCTTTCTATTCTTTTGAATGCTCAAACCCCCTTAAAATGGCTTAAACTGAAACCTTAATTAAATCCTTTCTTTTTGTTTTCTGCATTTTTTTACTTTTTTTCTTGGTAATTTTTTGTTGAGTTGGTTTTTTATTGTGGTGTTTCTTACAATGTTAATTTCAGTTACATAATTAATTTAAGCTATTTATTAAGTGACAAAAATTAATTTTCAAAATTCATTTGGATTAATTTCTCGCTTAATAAATGCTTGATCAACTGAATGTTAGAAATCAAGCGAGAAATTAATTTCAATGTTAGGGTTATAAATAGGGGAATTAATCAAGAACTATATGCAGAGAGATATTAAAAAAAAAATAAAAACTTACCTTATCATTGAATAGACAGTGTGGTACATCAATTTGAAGGTTGTGATCTTTTAAGATGCTGTTGCTGCTCTTTCCAACGTTTGTAATAGAATCACAATGAAATGTGCTCAAAGCAGGACATTCTGTTATCTTTAGTTTCCTTAGAGCGGGAAATTTAATTGGATTAATTCCACAGCAAAATCTTCTGAGATTAGATAGCTCGTCGAGATATAAGTAGTCAAGTTTAGGGAACACCATTGCTTTATTCCTTCCTTCGTTTGCACTGACTGTTATTATCTCTTCCATTTCCTCACACCGTACCACAACAAGTGTTTTTAGTTGCACAAAGCTTTTAACCATTGAGGAAGTAAACACATTCTTCAAATTATAACAGCTTTTCACTTCCAAACTTGATAAATTTTGAAAACCAAAAGACCGTGCAACAGCTGGAAGCTGATCATCCCATAGTTTTTCGATGCTACTCATTGATTCTAATACCAACTCCTCTATGGCAGGGAACACAACCTGCAAATAATAATCATACATATATTATGTTTGATATAATAATACCAACAAATTTCAATGTTAGGGTTATAAATAGGGGAATTAATCAAGAACTATATGCAGAGAGATATTAAAAAAAAATAAAAACTTACCTTATCATTGAATAGACAGTGTGGTACATCAATTTGAAGGTTGTGATCCTTTGAGATGCTGTTGCTGCTCTTTCCAACGTTTGTAATAGAATCACAATGAAATGTGCTCAAAGCAGGACATTCTGTTATCTTTAGTTTCCTTAGAACGGGAAATTTAATTGGATTAATTCCACAGGAAAATCTTCTGAGATTAGATAGCCCGTCGAGATATAAGTAGTCAAGTTTAGGAAACACCATTGCTTTATTCCTTTCTTCTTTTGCACTGACTGTTATTATCTCTTCCATTTCCTCACACTGTACCACAACAAGTGTTTTTAGTTGCACAAAGCTTTTAACCATTGAGGAAGTAAACACATTCTTCAAATCATGACAGCTTTTCACTTCCAAACTTGATAAATTTTGAAAACCAAAAGACCGTGCAACAGCTGGAAGCTGATCATCCCATAGTTTTTCAATGCTACTCATTGATTCTAATACCAACTCCTTTATGGCAGGGAACACAACCTGCAAATAATAATCATACATATATTATGTTTGATATAATAATACCAACAATTCCTTAATTATTATTCAAAAATTAAAAAGAATTCATGTAAAATGTAATATTGATGATTGGCTCGGAGCAATGATATAAAATCTACACAAATTAAGAACCGTAATATTGCTGTAATGTCTTTTTATTCTTTCCATTTTATTCATGTAATTTTCTTTTCAAGATTTTTAAAATAGAATTGATATTGCAAAAATGCTAAGGGACGTTAAAAGAGAAAAATATAAATACCTTTTCATCAAATAGATATTTTGGAATTGAGATGCTGCTGCTGCTACTCTTTCTTGCTTCATTTCTAATACGTGTACAATCACAATGGAACGTGTTTAGAAGAGAACAATTGAATATCCTTAGTTCCCTTAGAACAGGGAATTCAATTGGATTAATTCCATAGCAAAATCTTTTAAGATTGGGAAGAAAGCAGAGATCCAAGGATTCAAGTTTAGGAAACACCATTATTTTATTCCTTTCTTCTTCTGCACTGACTGCTATTACCTCTTCCATATCCTCACACTCTCTTACAACAAGTGTTTTCAGTTGCACAAAGCTTTTAACCATTGAAGAAGGAAATGCATACTTCAATTTATGACAGCTCGTCACTACCAAACTTGATAAATTTTGAAAACCAAAAGACATTACAGCAGCTGGAAACTGATCATCCCATAGTTTTTCAATACTACTCAATGATCTTAATTCCAACTCCTTTATGGCAGGGAACACAACCTGCAAATGATAATCATACATATATGTTTGATATATTATTAATAGTTCCCTTAATTATTATTATTCAAAAATTAAAATGAATTCATAAAAAATGTAATAGTGGTGACTGATTTCAAAAAATTATATGAAATTCACACAAATTAAGAAATGCGATTACTATCCACTATTTTAACACAACTCTACTTTCTTTAAAAATATATATATATAAATATGAGAAGAATAATAAAAATAAGTAATATAATAATAATTATGCATATATGCCTAATATAATAATATCAATAATTTCTTAATTATTATTAAAATATAAAAATTAATAATAATTTAATTAGTAATTTATATATACTGTATGATTTAAGTAGGAAAAACTAATCGGCACTCCATGTCTATTTCTACGTGTTTGGATTATTGTAATCCTATTGGTTTCAAACAACTTTCATGCAACGATTGTAATCTTGCAAGAGGAACCTACACTGAAATTTTTAAATATTTGCACTGAAGTTCAATAAGTCTCTTTAAAAATAAAGTAATAAAAATAATAAACCTAATGAAAAGTATGAATAAGCATAAATAAAGTACTAGTTTAATATAAATAAGTAAGTTTGCAAAGTAAAATTTAAATTGATATTTTCCAAGTGTTAACATAAATGTAAAAGCCTAATAGTATTTATTGTAAAAACATAAGACCAATATGAAGGTAAGAGAACGGAATTTAAAATTTAAAAAATTAATATATTAAAATAAATGTGTGAGAAAAAAAGTAAAAAATGCTATTTGAAAAAATGGATAAAAATTATCATAGTCAACCAAAACAAACTACGAAAGTTAAAAACGTAACGCAGAAAAAAAATAAACTTAATTTTAATATTATTTTAATGTAAATAAGTAAATTGTCTGCTTAAATTGTAAATTAATTGGCATTCTTCACATGTTAGTGTAAATGTGTAATCCGAATGATAAAAAGAACATATAATTTATTTAGAATAGAAAAAATCAACACAAACGTAATTAAATGAAATATCAAATTTAAAAAATATATATTTAAAATATAGATGTAAATGCATGAGGAGAATGATAAACGTATGTAACCATCGATTTTGAAATGTGTAAAAAAAATCATAATCAACTAAAAAAGTTATCAAAATTATAAAAATAATATGATATTATTTAGCGCAAGTAAGCAATTTGTCCAATCTCAACTCCTGTATGCCGATTTAAATTTGGAGTATGAGCTGTTGACTCCTAAATTGTACAAAGAATTTGCTATTAAGATCGATATATAGTAATATATATAATATCAATTATTAAGTTTATGACATCACACTCAAGTAAATCTTGTTAAGTTCGTGATATCACACGCAAGTCAATCTAACTATGGGCCGTGTTATTTGTTAAATTAATTTAAATGTACGTACAATATTTTTTAAGCCATTAAAATCTATGTAGTAATATATGAAAGAATTGTAATTGTCCTGTATTTTTATTATTAATACTTTTAATTAAAAGGACAAAAGAGATGCAACAGACTTTAGTGGCTTAAATATTACTTTTATAAAAGAAAAGAAGGAAATTCAAATCATGATTCCGCAAATATATATAAACTAATTACAACCTTCGGCTAATGTATATGCTCTAGTTCTACGTAATTTTTTAAAGCCAAATCATGAAGTGGAAACAATAATCCTTTCAATAGAAATAACAAAAATAAGATCGAAAGAAAATATGCTCGAAGTGAGAATTTAATGCAAATATTAAAAAAAAAAAGTTTGAGATAAATACCTTTTGATCAAAAAGCAATATGGCATTTGATTGAACATTTCCTTGTTGAGATGAGGAAAGCTTTTTTCCTGAGTAATTACAAAAGCGAATGAAACTTGGCAGATCTTGTAATCTTAGGCAAAGTAATTGATTGAATTCTAAAATGTCAATTACTTCATTAGCACCAATCTCTTCCTCTTTCTTTTCTGCAATTAACTCGGTCAGATTCTCGCACTCACATACCTCAATTTCTCGAAGTTGGCGGAGCTCTCTGGCTATGGAGAATGAGAACAAATTCTTCAACACCTTGCACCTCCCAACTTTTATGACTCTTAGTTGTCCAAAAGATCCAGCTTTGAGTTGACCGTAACATATTGCCTCTAAATTGATCAAATTGCATAGAGACAATGACTCCAAAAGAGGAAATTCTTTACAAGATATTAACTTCATGGCTGAGACATTCCGAACACAAAGATGCTTTAAATGTGGTAAACCTTCAGTGTTTGGGGCATAAAGCACGTCCATAACATTTTTCACATCATCTAGCCATAGATTTTCAGTTTCGCTCAACAACTTTTTAACCCCTTCATACAAATGAATACTTTCATTCATCTTGAGCTTCAACATTCTTGACGTTTCCATCTCATCGCATTCGCGCCACGTGCATTCATCCCCAATGGAAATCTTGTATCTTTCCAACTTTTCAAAAAACAACTCATCTTTTGGCAAAGCTTGCTCATTATGAATATGTACTGCCAGAGTGGTCAGATGAGACAAATGCTGCAACTCAACAAGGCTAGCATTGCTTCTTGAATTGTCGTGTCCTTCAACCTCCCATCTATCAAAGCTATTATATAGGTATAGTTCTTCTAATCTAGATAAACCTGCTAAGACATTTGGGGATATTATTTTAAGATCCTCACAATCACTCAAATCTAGCAATTTTAGCTTGGTCAATTGTCCTATTTTCTCTGGCAGCATTTCAATTCTAGATCTACGGAGATCAAGGATTTCTAAATTTTTTAACTCCCCGATGATGGCTATATCTTCTAAAACACAACCTAAGAAACACAATGTACAAAGAGTTTTTAAGGAACCAATCGAGGAAGGCAAGGATGAAAAATGCATTTCGGCAAAATCTAAGACTTTGAGTCTTTGCGTTTGCTTGAAAAAATTGTTAGGAATTTTCAAAGAAGAATCCTCACTACGCATAGAGAGAAAGGTAAGATTTGGACATTCTAACTCATCAGGAAGCTCACTAACCTTAGCAAACCGTAAGATAATAGCATTGAAATTTCTGATTGTTTCCTTATCTGACCACTCTGCGAATACATCTTCCTCTCCTACAAGCCACTGATGGTCCCTTGAAGCAATTGATATTGCAACATCACAAACAACATCATGCATATCAAAGCAGTCAGGGGTAGAACTAGCAAGTAACAAAAAAGAGTCCTTGAGCTCACTAACCAGTGTCAATACTTTATTTCGTACTTTTTCTATTGTGTTAAGGCCACGGAATAAACCCAAGCCCCTGCAATATCTCAACAAGTCCTCGATGGCAGCATTATGACCCATTATACTGCAGAGTAAGAAAGTCTGCTTAACTTCCTCATTTTCCAAAAAGTTATAACTCAACTTTATAGCTGAATAAACATCACTTGGCATCCCTCCTACGTTTACTTCGGTGCGTCTTTTTAGTTGCTCCAAAGCATCCGTCCACTCAAACAAGTTCTCCTTATGCCTCAGAGCCTTCGCAACCGTTGCAATAGTGATTGGCAATCCCGCACATTTTTGGGAGACCTTAATTGCCGTAGATTGCAAGTCAGATCTTTCAACAATATCACCAGCCATGTTCTTAAACAGTTTCCAGGATTCATCTCCTTTCAATATATCAATCGGAAGATTTTTCTGAGAGTTCATCGATTTTAAGACATCGAGCTTCCTGGACGTCATCAAGATCTTGCATCCCTTGTGTTCGTCTCTAGAAGGAATTCCAAGTGCCTCCAAGTCCAGTGGCTCCCAAATATCATCCAAAATTATAAGAACCTTCTTTTCTTTCTTTAGTCTGCCACGTAGTCGACTTCCTCTTACATCTATGCTTGTCTCATCAAATTTCAAGCCCAACTTCTCGGCAATCTCGTTTTGAATATTTCCGGGATTTTGTGTTACAGCAACCAAGACCACTTCATCAAGCAACTGCTTCTCCTTGGCTTGTCTGGCAACCTCTTTGACAAGTGTGGTCTTGCCCACACCACCCATCCCGTACACTCCAATTATGTTGAAATTATCATCTTCCAATGCCTCCATCACCCTATTTAAAGGGTTGCTTCTTGACTCAAAGGCCTCGTAGTCTTCGACAGGTCTAGTAGACCTTCCTTTTGGAGCAGGACGGTAGGAAACTCTATCATTAAATTGGTCTTTTTGGTTCAAGAGTTGAGCAATGGTGTTGGCCTCCTTCTCCACTTTCTTGCTTAGCTGGTAACGAGATTTGAAATCAGGACAAAAGCCAGCGAAACACCTCTTCGTTGCTTTCACTTCATCCTCCTTCAATTGTGTTGCAGCCTGCTCAGAGATCTTCCCATTGACCTCAGTCATCCACCTATCAACAGCAACAAAAATCTCTTCTGATTTCCTGTTAGCCTCATCAACAGATTGCTGCATTCTTTCTCGTTCATCCTCCAGTTTTTGAAGTTGAGTCTTGAGGTTTTGAAACTTGCTCTCATGCTTGAACAAGTAACTAACTTGTCGTGCAATGGGATCAACTGTGTACTCGGCCGCTTTGCTAGCAAGAGAGCCAAGAATGGATCCAACAATAGAAATAAGAGCCTCCATTTTTTTTCTCTTTTTAAAAAGAAAAAATTAGTGAAGCAGAGCAAACTATAAAACAACCGGGGATTAAGCAACTCCTTAGAAACAGAACACTCACTGGCAAAAGAGACAACAGTGACAACAAGAGAAAAAAAATTCATAAGGGAGTATAATTAATTACAATAAAAGATGAAAACAATGGAAGTGAGTTTAAAAACCGTACCTCCTCCTCAGGTATCAAAAGAAATCAGCTGGGAGTTTCTTACAAGCCAAACTTTTGAAGAAAAAAGAATGATGCTGAACAAGCTGAGAATCAAATGGGAAAAGTTGTAAATTATAATCTGGAAGAAGCGTGGAAACAGAAAAGCAAGAAAGTTGGAAACAAATTAATACTATTTAGCACCATACATAAAGATTTAAAACATATATTTATTTCTACACTTACTAGTCTTACAAATAACAGTGGTTATGACCAAAAATAATAACAACGGAAGCAAATCATTAAGAACAGAGCCTCACTGGCAAAAAAGACAACAAAAACAACAGCAATATTTAGATCCAACAGTAATAATAGTTTGAACGCAATAATAAATATTAAAACAGTTCAAGTGAGTTTATACAAAGCTTACCTGAAAAAAAAAAAACATTGATCAACACTTTGAGAAAGCTGATGCCAAACGAAACGACTGAAGGAAATTAAAGTTGTAAATTCTGGTCTCCAACAAGTGTGAAAATTAAACACACAAACTAATACGAAGATTTAAAGATGACAATGTAAAAGAGCAGGGAAAATGCAGAACGCATTAATAATATAAAGGATGTTATGCAGACGGCGCTTTCATGGTTTCCAATTGACAGCTACATCACAGCCGCACATATCATTATTATTTACCTTTTTATCTTTTCCATCCAGATATAAGATGCATAGAATAGAAGTGGTTTTATATTTTTGTTAGTATTAGTAAGGAAATAAGTAAATTAATAATGAAAATTTTAAATTACTTATCTTTCATGTACAATACAATAAGTTAAATTTATAAGTCACTAAAAAAATTCTTTGTCGAGGAAAATGCAACGGATTTTAAAATATGTCAAATTATGATTGGATTTGTTGAATTATAGTCGTATAT